TAAAATCAACTATAACAAATATAATAAAGAGAATAAATAATATAACTATGATAAATATAATATATATAATAAATAAGTTATAATTAATAAATATAATAAATATAATTCATTTATCTAATATATACACTTAATTAACATTGACAACTTTAGTAACTTTGTCAACTTCATTAACTATATCGATCATTTAGATTATATGACTTATTTTTAGCATAGTTACAGATCATGACTTTAATCCTTCTCTTTTAAATTTTGAGCTCCCGCTCAAATATTCATAGCTTCATTTACTAAAGATCAGTATACATAGCTTGGAAGTTGATAAAGATTCTTTAACGATATATGTTTTGCTCATTGAATTTGATCTATACCTAGTATTTCATAGAAGTAATAAATACATATTGAGACAGAACTATAATATTTGGTAATAAGTCCTCTCAATTGACTTCATTGTGCTAGTGAAAAAGTTTCTGTTTCTAAAAGTTTTTCCAAGTAATAAGCATTTATCAAAGTAAGAGTCTGGTCTTTCATTTGTAAAACTCTTAATAATATTTGATATGTCATTTGAAATTTTTTTTGTAGATTCATTCCATTTAAATATAAAAGAATAGCAGAAGTTATTTTTTCAGACAAAGTCTCATTCAAATCTTCAATATAAAATTTTTTCATAATAAGTAATAATAAAAAAAAATAATAATAAGAAATAAAAAGAAAATTTAATTCTGAAAAGAAGGGTCTTTATATATTTTCAAAAGATCTTCATTTACTGAATTACAAAGTACACAACTATCTAATTTTCTTATCTTGTAAGAGTTATTAGTAAGATTTGATGGATATAATAGGGTTCTTTCTATTTTTAATCCAATTTTCCAGAATGGGTTTTATCTTTTGCAGCTTCAAGTATAAAACCTTATCTCCAATTTCATGTAAAACAAAGATTCTTGTATTTTTGTTATGGTACTTCTTTTATTGCTGTTATATAAATTATATTCGTACTTTTACATCTAGTCGTATTAGAGGTAATTTGTTGATCAAATAATCAATTCTTTCTTGTATAGTAAAATTCTGGTTGGTATAAAAGTTATTAGGATCATCAGAATTATTAATAGGTAATGTTATATTTTGTCTATAAATTAAATAAAAGGGTTCAATTTTTGTGGCTGATTGTTTGCTTGTGCGATAAGCAAATAAAACAGGAGAAATATATTGGTCCCATTGAGTAGATCTTTCAGCTAATTTTACTAATGATTTACATAGAGTTCTATTAAATCTTTCTACCAGTCCATTCGTTTTAAAATGATAAGAAATGGATAGATTATGATGAATATGAAATTATTCTATCAATTCTGTAACCAATTGATTATTAAAATGAGATCCCCTATCTGATAAGATCTTAGTCAAACATCTATGTCAGCAAATAATATTATTATATAAGAACTTAACGATATTTTTAGTAGTGGTATCCTTAACTACTTTAGCTTCTGTTCATTTTGTTAAATAATCCATAGTAACAATGATATATTTATTTCCTCTACTAGTTCATGGTAAAGGTCTAATAAAATCTATTCCAATTCTATAAAATGATAAATCAACTAGAATAGGATGTAATTTATTCTTTATTTTAGGCCTTTCTCATCATTGATAAGTATCACATAATTGAACATATTTTCTGACACTTTTATATATTTGAGACTAATAATATCTAGTATGAACTTTGTTAAACATGATGTCAGTAGAAAAATATTCAGCTCTTGGATCATTATGCATCATGTAAAGGATTGTATCTAGTTCAGTTTCTTTGATGACTCTTAGAAACTGTTCAGGAGCATTTTTTTGTCTTTGTTTTTTATATAAGAAATCAAGTCAAACTGTATAAAATTTTGATTGTCTCTTTAATTTTGCAATTTCATTTGAGTTAAAAGATGTGGATAATTGATTTAAGGTTATATAAACAAATAAATTATTACATTGATTGAGTTTCATGATGTTTAAGCTACCTATCACAATGTAGACATTTTCATTTTCACTCTAAATAATTATTACTAATATTTCTTAAATAAATATGGATATGAATTAAAATATTTAAATGTGAGAAACAAGAAGATGTTTAGGATTTTCAAGTATATAATAAAGTTGAGAGTAAAGGTTTTCTTGTTAAACTAAGATTGGTTCATCTCACTAAAGATCATTAATTAAATAATTAGGGTTTATATCTAGTTGAATCTATTCTGAGTCAAATTTAATGATACATTGATATTTGATCATTCTATATGATAAATTTCTCTTACAAGTTTTGCAATATATATGAATATGATGATTTTTAATATCACAATTATAATTACATTATGATCCTCCTTTAATTATTGATTAATTAGCTATAACTTGCTTAATCTTGATATTTTCTTTAAAAATATCTTTCAATTCTTTCTTAGAATATTCATATCCTACAATAATTAAAGGTATATAGAAATATTGTGATGTCAGTTCTTCCTCAAAGTCTATTCTTCTTGTGATCATTCTGATGAAATTTCATTATTTTCAGAAAAAATATGCTATTCTATTTCTTCATTATTATTTTCATTTGTTATAAGCATAAAAACTTCTTTTGAGGAATTATCTTGTTCTTTTTCAGAAATTAATCGAAATAATATATTAGCATTAGCATTATTTTCCTAGGTCTGTGCTGAATATTAAAATTATATTGTTGTAACTCTATTATTTATCGTGTATATCATCCTTTTGGTATTTTTGAAGTTCTCAACCATTTGAGGGTAAAGTGATCAGTTACAATAGTGAAAGGTTTAGAGCTAAGATAATGATGAAAGTTCCTAATAGCCTAAACCACTACTAAATATTCTTGGTCTATAATTAGATAATTTTGCTCAGTTTTGTTCATATTTTTGCTCGCATACGCAATAACATGTTCGTTTTTCTTTTTATCTAAATGAGATAATACTACTCCAAGTCTCATTCCTAAGGCATCAGTATAGAGTATGAATTCCTTAGAGAAATCAGGATATTAAAAGATTGGTAATGTAATCAGTTTCTCCTTTAATTTATCAAAGGATTTTTGTTGATCATTTGTTCAATTATAAGGAGTATCCTTCTTTAGTAAGATTGTTATTGGTTTAGCAATTTGAGAGAATCTTTTCACAAATTTTTGATAATATGAGAATAATCCAATGGCTACTCATAATTCAGTTAATCCTTTAGGTGCTGAAAGTTCTTTGATTTTTCAAATTTTTTCAGGATCTGGTTGCAAACCACTTCTTCCTATAATATATCTAAGGAACAGAATATTTGAAAGGCAAAATTGATACTTTTTTAATTTAATCATTAAATTTGCCTTTCTGATTACTTCGAATACCATTTGCAAATATTCTTCATATATTTTTGAATAGATGATAATATCATCTAAATATACTACTACAAACTTATAGAGGTATTCTTGTAGGACAAAATTCATTAAGCGTTAGAAGGTTTTAGAAGTATTCTTTAATCTAAAAGGCATTCTTTTGAATTTGTATAGACTATATAGGTAAATAAAAGCAGTTTTCTGACGATCACTCTCTTCCATTTCTACTTGTTAATATCTACTAGCAAGATCAAGTAACGAAAATCAACTTGCATTTTTAAATTTATCAAGCAAGTCATCAATAAGTGAAAGAGGATAAGCATCTCCTTTAGTTATAGCATTAAGTTTTCTATAATCAATACAGATGTGTGCATCTCCAGTTTTCTTGAATACAATAATGACTGAAAAAGCCTAAAGGCTTTTTGACTTTTGGATAATGTTATTTTCTTCTATTCATTTAATTTCTTCTTAGAGAAATTTTAATTTAAATGAATCCTTCAGATAGTATGCAAGACCAGCAATTAATTTATAATCTTTTGTAAGAATTTGATATTGAAATAAAGTTGTATAACCAATTTTTGTTTGACTAAGAATACAGATATCTTTATTTTCTTCAATGAATTGCTCAAAAATTTTTTATTAATTAATATCTAATGGTTTAACATATAAGTCTTTTTGGATATTCCATTCATTATTTTAAGGCTTTGGCTATTTAGCTTGAGCTAAGAATACTGCTGAATTGTCATTCCAAGAATTAGTAAATAGCTCATTTTTATTAAAATCAAATAAGCTCTCTTTATCAGAAAAGTTTTCTTCACTATTAAAATAAAAGATATCTCATTTGTCAAGATCTTCATCTTCATATTGGTTATTATAAGTTAGATCTTCAATTATATCAATTAGTTTATCCATAGATGTATCAGATTCTTCATCTAATTCAATAAAAAAAACTGTTATAAAAAGTAATTAGAATGGAGGCAGATTTTGTAAGATATCTGAACTTTATTTTTCTTTCATCAAAGTTAAGAATAGCTTTAATTCTTTTAAACCAATCAGTTTCCAATAGCAAATTTTCATCAGGGGATTCAATAACTTGTAGAGTTATTGGCATACAAATGGATCAATCTAATGGTTATCTTAATAGGATTGATCTTTTCTAAAGCTTTAGCTCTTTTTCCATTAGCAGTATTGATAATTATTTTTGATAGCTCATCAATCTTTAATTTAAGTCATTTGACTAAACTACTTGTAATGATACTGATAGCTGCACCAAAGTCAAGAATAGCTTGCACATTGCTATAATGGATTTGAATAATACATCTAATTGTAGTTGTAGGAGTATCATTATTGTCACATATATATTTGTCATCAAGGTCAACATTATTAGTTTTTTTAATGATAGCTCTTTTTAAAGCATTTGCTAAATTTCTTTTTTGATCTGGATATTTTAACCATTGTTCAAGTTTTGTAAACAAAGATAAATTTAGAATATCCTCAGCAATATTATAAGAAGCTAATTGGTTAACAGCAGAGGGGATATATGGTATTTTTCTTCAAGGTTCTTAACCTTTAGAATTGAAACTGCTTCTTTAATATCTATTGAAGTGGTAAGAGGAATTGGTTTACTTATATTTCTATTTCTTAATCTCATTTATTAGTAAGATTCAGACATTCTTTTACTTTTCTTTTTGGCATCCCTCCTGTTAGTAGTATATGGAGTGATCCTTACTCTTAGAGTAGCATAAACCTCTTCATAATCTTCTTCTTCATCTTTTGAATTAAGGTCAGAATAAACTTTGATTATATTTGCATCCTTTTTTTTTTTTAGAAGACAAATCACATTTTCTGAAGTAATGGCCTTTTTTTTGACAATTAAAATAAGTAATTTGGGATTTATCTAGTTTTTGTTTTGTAGTTTTAAGTCTCATTTGGATTTGAATATTCGAGGCTAAAATAATATTAGCATAATTAAGAGTTAGCTTTTCCTTTTGTTTCATTAAGACTTCAAAAGCATTATCAGTAAGAACTCTAATCTTTCAATCTATTTAACATTTCTGTTTTTCAGCTTGTCTTTCAAAATAAACCAGCTTTATAGTTGATAGTCTCTTGTATTGCTTCATTAATATTTGCAGGTTTACTAGTAGCAACATATTGCATTAAATCCTTTTTTAATTCCTTTAAAAATAATCTAATAATATACGGTTCTGGTAGTTCACTATCAGGGTCTATCTTTTTTCTTAATCTCTTAAATCTATTAGAGTATGATTCTACTTTTTTATCTCTTTCTTGAAGAATATCATTAAGTTCATAATACCATTTGTTTTATTATTCAATCATAGAAAAATGGTTTATGAATTTAAATACAAAGGTTTTAGCACCATCTTCATCAGCTGCAACTCTCTAATCTTGAGCAAATATAATATTCTTATACCAATCAGTGGCTATATAATCGAGGAATCCTTTAGCAATTTTAACCATTAGTTCATTATTCTAATTGTTAACTTTCGCAGCTTTCTCAAAATAAGCAATCCAATCAGATGGATTCTTTTCACTTTTTCCTGAAAGCGTTTTACTAAAACTAAATTAGTTTTTTTTTTTAGTAGCTGATGTGAAAGTCTGTTTTAGACTTCCTGAGTGAGTTGATTGATAGAATTTGTGAGCTAGATAATGAAGGCATTAAATTGGTCTGTGTCTATTATATTTTTTCTTAAAGGTTCTAATGAGAGGGTACTAAAGGTTGTAATTCAGTTGTTATATGGCATTCAAAGTTGACTGAATAATAAGATCTTCTAATATATGAATTGCAATAAAATCAAAATCAAATCCAAAATCAAAAGGGTTAACAAAGGTTAAACTATATAATAATAATTTAGCTTCTTTTTTAAGAGTTTTAATGAGCTGTAATTTACTAAAATATTATTAATATTGATCAAACAAAGTTACTGTTTTCCAGTATATACAAAAGTATTAAATTTAGCACTAATCTAATTCCAGAAATATTTAAATAGTAAAGATACTTCTTCTAAAGATAGATAACAAATTAAACAAGTGTAGTCAATTGATAGGTAACTTTTACTTTCAGAGAGTTGTTGAATATGATTTTGTTGTAATGTAAGATAGAAATCAAAATTTATCCACTAAAAACTAGATGTTCTGATAGGAATCATCACTTTTGTTAGCTTAGTATTTGTAAACTTAAACGATAAACTTTTAATTCAATCCATCAAATTAAATACAAAATAATATCACAATTATGCCTATATAAAGACATAACAAAAGGTAATAGTAAATGAATTTAATGATTCCTTTATTGAACTCTTAGTTTATCCTAAAATCTCAACTTGAGTTACCTTTCAACTCAAGGAAAAATACAAGATATTTATATAAAATAAAATAATATAAAATTAACTATAATAAATATAATAAAGAGAATAAATAATATAACTATAATAAATATAATATATATAATAAATAAGTTATAATTAATAAATATAATAAATATAATTCATTTATCTAATATATCTACTTGATCAACATTAACAACTTTAGCAACTTTGTTAACTTCGTTAATTATATCGATTATTTAGATCATATGACTTATTTTTAGCGCAATCACAGATTACAGCTTCAATGCTTATGAATCTGGATTTGCAATTCCCTATGAAAAATAGCAAAGAATTTAATTTATAAAGTATATATTTAAAGCAAAGATCAGCTTATCAATTTGCTTATAAATATAGCTATATCAATTCATTTTACTACAAATCTTTGAATAGCAAAGAGTAATCATAGATATATCAGAATAATAGCAACTTTGCTTACTTCTGATTTTAACTTTTATAAGGTCTTACTTACTTGTATTTATTTAAAATATTCATATATTGAAGAGGTTATTTGTAATGAATTATATTGAATTATTGAACAATGACATTTAACAAAATCAATTTTTACAATTACTACTAATAATGGATCAAATATGATTAAAGGTATATGACTTCTTAAGCAGACTTTATCTTCTATAAAAAGATAATCTTGTGTAATACATATATTACAATTATCTGTAAAAGAAGGTTTAAAGTATTGTAAATATGTTTATCAGCGAATTAAAAATTTGCAAAATTTTTTTGATTACCAAAATAGGCATAAAGACTACAACATATGTAACTTAAAATTAATGAACTTGAAATACCTTTAACTGAAGATTCTGAAGTACCAATAAACCCTTTAGATATTTAACTGATATTAAAATATGATAGAATTTAACATTTATTATATAGAAATGAATTCTTGAATTACACAATACTATGTGTTATGTTTTAACTATATTATTATCAAAAATGATCATATATTAAATAAAAAAGAAGAAAAATTAGAAAAATTATGCTTAACATATGAAGAAAAAATATAAGCTATGAATAAAATTTTAAAAATAATTTTTATTATTTATTTTAAAAATAAAATATTTATTATTTATAAATAGATTCATTTAAGAAATAGTAAAATTATTAGAACCATTTGAAACTATAACTTATCGATTATTAGATACTATATATCTAATACTTAATATAATACATTCATATATGTATATGCTTAAACAAATATTTGCTTTAAAAATTCAAAAAAATGAAACTTAGAAAGTTATTTTAATCTTATTTATAAATCTTTTACATCTAAAAATACTAATAAAGAAGAATTAAATTAATAATATTGACAATATACTTATCAACAATTTAAAGAATATATGAAAAATTGAGAAAATATAATCATAATTTTTATTATATGTGTGATCATATTCATAATCGTATTTGTATTTTACAAATTCATATAAAATAAATAAAATTGAAAATACATATTAAATTGAATATCTTTTTCCAGTAGATACTAAAGATCTTCTTAAAAAAGTTTGCATTGCTATTTACCTTTTTTTTGGATGATTTGTGAAATATACTAAATAAAATATCTTTAATTACAATAATATTAGATCCTAGAATAAAAAATTTTTCATTTCTGATCATGAAGAACAAAAAAAGTTAGTTAAAAATCTTTTAAAAGATTTATATATTTAACTTAAACAAGATTTAGCATTTTCTAAAGATATTCAAGAAATATTACCTATCTTGAATGAAAAAGATAATGATATATTTACAAAAATGTAGAATAGTGATTAATGGTCAATATTAGTAGAAAATAATGAGATTTCGTCTTACTTGAATTGTCTTAATAAACTAAAAACTATAGATCCTTTAGTATGATGACGAGATCATATAGCAAGTTATCCTATTTTATTCAAATTAGCTTAAAAGTATCTTTTAATTCCTGCTACATCTGTATCTAATAAACGTCTCTTATCTGATATAGGTAATCATATTTCTTTAAAAAGAATACGATTGTCTCTAGAATTAGTAAATCATATATTATTTTTAAAACATAATAGTGCTTATTTTAATATATTTCCTCCTTTAAAATTTAATTAGTTTAATATAATAATAGAATTTCTTAGCATTTATATATATAAACAATTTATATAATTTAATAAAATGGTTTAAATATAAATTCTTTTAATAATTATATATTTTAAAATACTTAAATATAGGACTTTGTTAATCTTGTAAAAAAAGTTTTATAATCCTTAGTGATGAAGTATTTTTTAAAATTAAATTTCTTGTAGATTTCTATAATTATAAATTTGATTTTTCAGTATTTTATAAATTTAATGCAATACATTAAAAAATATTGTCAGTTAATTATAATAAAATAAATAAATTAAATTTATATTCAAATAAAATAAAGAAACTGAATTTATTATATACGAATAAAATGAAGGAATTTGATTTATTATATCTGGATAATGAAGGAATCAAATTTATTATATCTAGATAAAATGAAAGAACCAGATTTATTATATTTAGATAAAATATAAATTTGAATCAGAAGAAACTGAATTTATATTCAAATGCTAAATATTAGTTCTAAACTCTAACTGAAAGTTTATTTAAATAAATGAAAAATATTTTATTAATTTATATAATTTATATACTTAATAATAGAATATATGAAGTTCTATAACGTAAATTTTAAAAAAATTTACATTTCATATTTTCAAAGAAAAGAAATTGCTATATTCAATAATATTAATTACTTACTTAATATATAATATAACAGAACTTTCTTATCTGTCTTAAATCTACATCATTATCATAGATTAAAATAACTATAAAAATTTTCACAAATTTCATTATTTTAAAATTATTATAAACATAGACTATGGTAAATAAATATTTATTAAAATTAATATTATATACTTTTCTATTGATTTTTTTACAACTAGATAAGTTTCTTCACAATATGAAAAACCTTATTAAAAATAACACAATTTTATTAACTAGATGATATTTTTATTAAGTAAATTATTCGTTTAATATCAAGACTGCTAATATCTAATTTATTTGGCTATGTAAAATAATCTTTCAAAGCTTTTTTTAAAAAATAATAATGGCTTGTTCTTTTTTCAACAATATTTATATTATTAATTTTAATAATATTAATCTAAATTTTAATATGCTTATTTGTGTTTTATAGATGAAACTATTTTACTTTGGAACTTTTATCTTTTTTTACAACATTTTCATTAAGAAATTATTCATAACAATCATGACTAAAGCGTACAAGCATTTTTTTATTTTTTATCTACCAGAAAGTTTATACTAATCATAGTTATTAATATACTACATTATATCAATTAACGTACAAAATTATGTATAATTTATATGTATTTTTAATATCTGAATTAAAAGAAAGGTGGTAATGCAAAATGAAACTATAATAAAATATGTTAATGAATTTTATTTTTCTGATTAATGATAAGACATTTACAATATAATTTCATTGCATCTTTTAACTTTGTTAAACTTTATTTCAATATTGAATTCACCATTTTTATTATATAATTCAGATATTAAAATATTACCTTCTGTACAATTTTAATACTAAATTAAATATCTATTAGATAATCTAACTTTATAAAAATAAACATCCAATGTACTATCTCTTTATAAAGTTTTTAAAATTTAACTAAAATTCTATATTTTATAAATATTATAATAAAAAGTATAAAGTATTATATGATAATGTAGTTTCTTAAATTAGGTTAAAGATGTAATATTAAAATCATATAAAAAAATTTTTGTGACTGAAACTTGTACATTTGATCATTTTGAATTTTCTTTTCCATATCTAAAAAAAAAAATGATAAGAAGTTATTTATTAGAACAAGATTTGAGATTATTAATCAATAACCCAAAATATAGTAACTTAGAAATTATATGCAAATATGAAAAGAAATTACATAGTTGTAGAGTGATTTTAACTGCAAGATCTGAAGTATTTGATGCATTACTTTATAATAAAAAGAAAGAAAGTTATAAAAATAAAATTACTTATAAAAGATTAATTCATCAATAATAGAAATTATAAGTTATTCAAAAGGAGTCTTTAACCAAAGAAAATATTATTAAGACATATATTACTGTAAATTACTTTCAACTACTAATCTTTAAGATTTCAAAAGAAGAAAAAAAATAAAAATAAAATAAAATAACAAAATTAAAAACTATTAAAATATATAATTATTTTTAAAGTGCTGTACTTTATACTTTTAAATGCAGTAAAATCTATATATCTTGACAATATGTAACATTTTGTTATCATTATATAGTACAAGATAATTTGATTAAAATAAAAGTTTTAAAAAAACTTTTTTTTATTATAAGTTATAACAATGTTTAATAGTAATTATAAAGGTAAGAGTGTAATAAGAAGCTAAAAAATATTAATATTTTTACTAAACAAGAAAAAAGAAAAAAAATAAAAGGTATAACTAAAATGAATTAATTTAATAGTTTGATAATATTCTAAATCTTTTTTTTCATATATTTACATTAGAGCCAATTTCAGATGCTAAAGGTAATACATGTATTTAATTACATTCTAATTATACTCATTTTTATTTGTAAAAAATTAAATTTATCAAATTTGAATATAAAATTAATTTTAGATACTCTTACATTAGAAGAATTAATTGGTAATAATCTTTATTTATCTATTATTTACTTATATAATTATTAATAATTAATATTTTTTTTAAAAAAAAAAAAAATTAATAATAATT